AGCAGGTCGTCCAGCATTGTGTCCATGTCGGAGTCCGGAAAAAGGTATACCTTCTGCTCCAGTTCCCTCAAGGTGTTTTTGTACCTATCTTGGGTGTGGAAGGCTCACTTCTTTTTAACTCCTTTGCTTTGTTATTTGAGGAGATTTTGACGGGTGCGGACGAGGTCTTGATAGGGGTGGTATTGGTGGTAAAAGCTTCCTTGGTAGGTTTTTTCCCATGATTGTCTGCTCTTGAAGTAAACACCTTATCCCTTTTGAAATCGGTGATTGGCTCATTCTTTCCATAGTGGGCGATGCTCAGCTCCATGTCGTGGGCACGGGTGGCTAATTCTTTAAAAGTCTGTGGTTTGATACCTTGAAGGATGTATTGTAAACCTCATTGCATGCCCTGGATGCACATCTCGATTGAAGAAATCTCGGAGAGCCTGTCCTTACAGTCGAGGCTTAGATTACGCCAGCAGTTGATGTAGTCCATGACTGGTTCTTCCTTCCATTGCTTCATGCTCGTCAGCTCTAGCATGCTCACAGTACGACGGGTACTGTAGAAGCGGTTGAGGAATTCCCTTTCCAACTGTTCCCAGTTGTTGATGGACTCGGGCTCCAGGTCCGTGTACCACTCAAAGGCGTTTCCTTTTAATGAGCGCACAAACTGCTTGGCGAGGTAATCTCCCTCCGTCCCTGCATTGTTGCAGGTTTCAACGAAATGTGCGACATGTTGCTTCAGGTTTCCCTTTCCATCAAATTGCATAAACTTCAGCGGTTGATAACCCCTCGGCATCCTTAAGGCGTCGATCTTCCTGGAGTAAGGCTTCGAGTACAACGTGGAGGCATGTGAGCTCCCTTCGTACTGTATCTTGATGGTGTTGGTGATCATCTCTTACAGCTGCTGGATAGAAAGAGATCCCATGAGTGCTGCTCATTGGTCCGGCTCCGGCTTCACATCGATTTTCTTCACCGGAGGCTCCTCTTCTTCGCCAGCTCCTCTATTTAGTGGATCATCCTCTGGGTCGGGTTTCTCGTCGTCCTGCGCCTCCAGTCGGTTGACTAGTGCTGCAATTTGCAAGTCTTTTTCTTCCACAGTTCGGGTTAGCCTTGTGATTACTTCATTCATTTGAGCCAGTTGCTCATCAATCGAAGTTGCTCTAGTAGTCATGACTTGCATGGCTAAACTGCCGCTTGAATCGGCATCGGAGAGCATGGATTCGGAGTATTTCCTTGGGCTTTCCCCCCTTGGTGCCCTTAATGAGGCTAAGGTGATCGCAGGCTCGTGCCTTGGGTGCTCTTATTCCCTTGGCAGAGTTGATGCAGAGGTGAAAGAGACGGCAGAAGTAGCTCTTGCCTTGCTTCGAGTCGTGATGCCCAAAGTGACACCACTTACGACGAGGACGCTCTTGTTCTTTGCGTTGGTTGCGGGAACAGTTTGAGCCTTCCTTGATGCTATTGATTTTGGAAGTGTGCTTGAATTTCTTGAACGGAGAAAGAGATGAGAGGTAGAGATGGTCTCACTGGGCGTGCCAAATTTGTAAACACGAAATTTTCCTGAAACAAACGAGACAAGAACAACGTGTACAAAATAATATTTGTACTAATGATTTAAGGGTTACAATCTCTTCTCAAATTTGATCATCTGATTTGATCTCCTTAAGGTGTGTATTTGTGGACATGCGATTGATCCAAGGGCCGTCGAGGCTTGATCTTGGATGAACGGTTGAAAGATTCTTCAAGGGCCGTTGAGGCTTGATCTTGAATGACGGTCGGATCTTCAAGGGGCTTTTGGGCTTGATCTTGAAAAACAGTGATGAACAGATCTTCAAGGGCTTTTGGGCTTGATCTTGAAGAACAGTGATGAACAGATCTTCAAGGGCTTTTGGGCTTGATCTTGAAGGATGGTTGGATGTGTGGATTTGTCGACGTTGTTGATCCAAAGGGTCATTGGGGCTTGATCTTAGGATGAACGGATGATGAATGATGAACACTTTCTTCAAGGGCCGTCGGGGCTTGATCTTGAATTGGTGGAAGTTCTTCAAGGACTTTTGGGCTTGATCTTGAAGGACGGTTGAATGTGTGGATTTGTCAACGTTGTTGATCCAAAGGGTCGTTGGGGATTGATCTTAGGATGAACGGATGATGAATGATGAACACTTTCTTCAAGGGCCATCGGGGCTTGATCTTGAATTGGTGGAAGTTCTTCAAGGGGCCGTCGGGGCTTGAGCTTGATGAACGGATTTGTTGATGTTGTCGATCCAAAGGGGCCGTTAGGGCTTGATCCTTGAGGATGAACAGTTGATGAACAATGAACACTTTCTTCAAGGGGCCGTTGGGGCTTGGGCTTGAAGGTGGATTTGGCGAAGAACGAAGAGAGTTTTTTCGATCCTTCAGAATTTGCTTGAGAACTTTAGAGTTTCAAAGCTTCAAGGTTTTAGTGTGATATCAATTGGTCCCCCTAAATGAATGAAATTGGCTTCTATTTATAGAATTTTTCAAGGCCTAATTTTGAATATAATATTCAGATGAAATAAAACGTTTCTGCCAGGTGTTGACATGTGTCATGCTTGATGACTTTTCTGATTTATTTTGATTTTTCATTTAGTCACACGCTACGTGTAAAATTTATATGACATGTGAGCATTGAAATTGTAACTATTGGTCAACATTTATTTCACCGAAATTTCGATGTCTACAAATTTACTTAACGTCCGCATCTTATTAATTTATCTGTCTTCTTTTCTTTCAGCGAAACATTATCATTGCTCTTCTAGTTGAAGCTGCCTTCTTTGTCATTGTGGTTTTCGTTACTCTACACTTCTTTAAGCTCCCTCAAATCCGCTGTATGATAATTGGGATCTTATGTATTGTCTTCAACATCATTATGTATGCCTCACCCTTGACAGTCATGGTACGTAAGAATCACTCATTTTCATAAATTATTCCAGGTTTTGAGTGTTTGGACAATGTTTGGATGATGAAAAAGATTTCATTACTTTAATTATTTGGTTGACAGAAAATGGTGATCAAGACAAAGAGCGTCAAGTACATGCCGTTTTTGCTTTCGCTCGCCAACTTCTGCAATCGAATTGTCTGGTCCATCTATGCAGTATTCCTTAAACTGGATCCATATGTTCTGGTAATTAATTAAAATTGTAAACAAGAAGTTTTCAATTTATCCTCAAAGAACTAAAAAAATACTTTTAATTTTGATTTCTTGTGATTAATTAACCTTTTTTTTCTGAATAATTTGGTAGTTTCCAAATGCTTTGGTATCGCTTTCCGGCGTGGGTGCAGCTCATCTTGTATGCAACCTACTACAAGACCACTAATTGGGATGAGGATAACAGCTCATCTTGTATGCAACCTACTACAAGACCACTAATTGGGATGAGGATGATGAAAAGCCAAAATCTGATGTTCAAATCTCTAATGTTTTAGAGGGAGATATACAAAATAAAGTGCCTTGTAATATAAAAATCTTCAGTCATGTAATCACATTCAATTTGAACACTTCATACGTACATTTTCCGCAGGAAATGGGGCAGGTTGGCCAAAACAAAAAAACAAAAAAAATTATGAATAGACGATTGTTTACAACCTTTTTCAGTTTATGTATGTACAAAAATGCTACTCTTATCATATTTTTATACTACATTTGTACCACATTTTTAATAGAGATGAGAACCACATGAGTTGGTGAGACATACATCTATTAAAGAAGTGGTACAAATGTGATATGAAAAATATAATAAGCGTAGCATTACTCATATATTTATACGTACTATTACTAAATATAAAGGTAATGTTTGGAACACAATCTAATTTGAAGCCTCAATCTAAACCGCAACCAACATATACATGTCACATCACTTAATTAATAACTTTACAAATTTTTAATCCAAATTGATGGTTCTAGAATGGAAATAACTTCTAGAATTTTCAGATCTCTATTCTCCATCCCTATCTCAAAGGATGGAGATGAGGAATATGAAAAGGTTAAAATAAATTTTTTATTTTTTTTTAAAATAATCAATTTTGATTAAAAAAATGAAAATTTAATTAATTAAGTGACATGGTATATATATGTCAGCTACCACATCAGATGGTTTAGAGAAATAGTTCAAATTAGATATTTTCACTAACATTACCCTAATTAAACACTATATGACTCAATAGGTTTTCTTACAAAGTGAGAAAACTAGACCCTTTATACAAAGAACTCAACCATATTAATAGATATGCCAAAAAAAATATTCTATTTCTATGTTTTTGTGGTTTCATTTGGGAGAGGGTCTCTTGAGTGTAGCGTACGGAATGGGGTGGTGGGAGAGGGGGTGGAATCTAAATGTGAGGTAGTGGTGGGCCTCAAATCAGGGAGCAAAGGGCCCATGAGGGATTTTTTGAATCTAGGCCGAACGAATGAGGTGGTCCGGATAGCGGACCTAAGACTTTCTCTTCATTTTGGGCCATCATAGAGAATCTTTCGTAACAGGGTCTGACGAATATTATCTATACCAATTACCATCTTGATAAGTGGTAGTACACAACTTAAGTAGTTGTAAACATCTTGATTTTCATTTAGGTTAAGCACATACAACTACTGAATCCATTTAAAAATAGTAGTAAATCCTATGAAGCAACGGAGAAGAAATAGATGAAAAGATCTCCAATATTGATTGACGTTTATTGAAGGTAACTCATATATAATAATGTTTATGTGCCAACAATTGCAAGATAGGATGTGCTATTGATACACTTCTTTTTACTTCTCTCCCATCTCTTGTTAATTTTTGTCTTTTGATCTTTTACAATTCATCCAATCCAACGATGAAAATTAGAAAAGTGTAAAATAAATGGTAAAATAAATAGTACCAGGATTGAGATTTTAATGTAAAAATATGATTTTTCGTTAAAGTAAACAGTACCGAATTTTCATTAAAGTTCCCTTTTTTATATCCCACATTTTCTCGCCCACCAAACAATCGGAATCAGTTGCTGCAATCTCTCGCTCCATCAAACGCCTTCCCGCGCGAATCAACAACTTTATTCATGTAAAAATATTTTCCATGTCCCTCTTCGAAAACTGTACTTTATTTTTCTTCACTTGGTTTTGTTAATTTCTGCTCCCATTTTCGCGGGAAACAGAGCATTTTCCTTTGCTTTCTCTGTAATTTTCCCGAGAAACAAACAGCTCAAATGCCCTTAAAGCTAAAAAAATTCAAGCATACAAGCTTGTATCTCCAATGGGTCACCAAATCTTTCAACTTTACCCATATTTCTCCATCAAATCTCTACTTTTGATCGGTTAATTGCTAATGGGTTGCTAAAGTAAACTTTCTCTTGATTTTTTCCCAGATTGTACTCTGCGGATTCTGAATCTTTGGTGAAAAATGATCCGAGCTGCGGATTCGAGTGCGTTCAAAGCGGTGAACCACCAGCTGAATTTCCCAGAGGCCATTGAGAAGTTCATGTTTCCTCGAGCTCACGAGACCGCTAACGAGAACAAAGGTGTGTCCTGCATTCCGGTTGATACATCTGTGAGTGAACAAATTTGATTTCGCAATTCAGGTGACGGTTGAAGATGACAACACTCTGGTGATCCGAAGCAACGGGCAGAGAAAGCGCAACGACTGGGAGGAGGAAGGGTGCAAGTATACAAGGCTGGAGAGGAAAGCGGTCCAGAAGCTGCTGAGGAAGTTGAGGTTGCCCGGAAATGCCAATGTAGCAGCAATTACCGCTAAATGTGAGAACGGGGTTCTGACTCTGGTTGTCGAGAAGCTTCCTCCGCCTCCCAACCCCAAACCAGTTGAAGTCTCCATATCATGAAGCAGATGAAAGGCAGCTGGATTCATGTGCCTTGTGTACATTTAGGCTTCTAGTTCCAGGGTTTAGGGTTTATGTGTTTTAGGCAATGGAATTGGAACTTGAGTAAAAGGGCAACAATTTGTCTAGACCTACATCTCTGTCTCTATTGTAATCTTGAATTCTAATTTTTCATAAAAAGTAAAAGCCAACGGCAAAAAATTCTATGGGTGCAATCGGATATGAGTTCGAAACAAAATTTCCTGATGGTTTTATGGAGGAGTCCGACGAAGAGAGGGAGGTTTCAGTCGGATGACTTTCTCTTCTTTCGTGATTTCGGCTTCTTTTTTCTAGATTCCTTATCAGCAGGAACGTGGTCGTTCATCAGATGCTCATATTCTTCAAGACTAGCAAACGGGGATGCTCCAGACTTCCCTCGCTTCCGTTTACTTTTGCTTTTCACATTCTTCCCCTCATCCTCGTCAATGCCGTCATCTGCATCACCTATGTCAATGTCGTCGTCGTCTGCATCACCTATGTCAATGTCGTCATCGTCTGCATCACCTATGTCAATGTCGTCGTCGTCTGCATCACCTATGTCAATGTCGTTGTCGTCTACATCTCCTATATCAATGTTGTCGTCATCGTCACTCTGGCTATCGTCCACAATGCCATCAAAGTCTTCTCCCTCCCCGCAGTCTGAGGGCAGGTCCGGCTCAGTATCACTGAGATTAGCAACCAAGTCTTCATCATCTTCATTGGCAACTTGGTCCAGATCATCGTAATCATAGTCACCATCTGCTTCAATAGAAACACCAGCGGAATCCAGCATATTGTCAATCTCTTCGTTATCGCTGTCATCACCACCACCACCATCCACGTCGAACAAATCTGCAGCGCCTTCATCTTCTGCTGCCTTCTTCTTTTTCTTCTTTGGTTTCTTTGAAGAATTCATCTTGTTCATATAGAACTTGTGGAAGACAAGATCTTCCGGGGCTACATCTTCCTCAGCCAATGAGAGTATCTCTGATCCGATTAATTGGTTGGTCATGTCAAGCTGGAACGAGAAAAATCAGTCAGCATTGCAGATTTAAGGGGCCTGTGTTTCGGCACTGACCATAACTATGGTACTCAAATCATTCAAGAGCATGAGAGAAGACAACAAGAGACAGGGCAATTCTATACAAGTTCAGGAAACAAGCAGACCTTTTTCACAGGTTCAATTTGTGAACCACCATGCCATGCGCCTTGCTTTGGTTTCTTCTCCATAAACTTGTCCAGAAAAGCAGCAAGTGATAGGTCATTCAGCGGGTTTCCATTGTAGACAATGTTCGCCCCAGAGAGTAGGGTCTTTGCCATGGTTGAAACCGAAGGGTGCACATGTGAAGCAAGTACTGTCAGCTCCCACCAGCTCACACGATCCGCATTACTGTTTGCTCATATAGAAATGGGAATTCGGAAGTTAACAGAAAATATAAACAAAAATAAAGGGTGCAAAGCATTAGAATTCCTGCAGTGGGTTGTTATAGAAGAAATTTTGTTTGACCTTTACTTTCTCTCTTCGTTCTTTTTTTACTAACAAAGTATTACATGGTTGCACTTATTCTATATTCTGCCACATGAATATGGATGCTAGCCTGTTAAAGACAACTAACCAATAAGAAGGTTCTCTGCGTCGTGGATCATAGCCTCCAGGCAAGCGAGGCTTCTCAGATGATGCTTGTGGTGGTTGCACATTACTAGCAGGGATTGGTTTGGAATCATTTCGATCTTTTGTCACAAAAAACTCCTCTGCTTCATCAGAACCTTCACCTTCAGAATAAGAGGCAGTGGATTCGTTATCATCTTCTGAAGAATCATGGTCAGAATTGGCAGCATCATTGCTGTGTACAAGCTCAACATCGAGTTCCTGTTTCTCTGGGACAGGGGTGGGGTTATCATCAGTTTCTTCTCGAACATCTTCAAAATGCTCAAGTTCATCATCAAGTGACTCATTCTGGAGCACCATGTTCCTGTGTGGGGATGGCAAATTAGAAACATGTTTATTTGACCATGTTGAGTAAAATCTAGGGCACAGATCTCCGAAATAGCACTAGCTTACCATAATGGGGGTCTTGCCTTAAGAACTTCTGAAAGGAGGAAGAGGCATCCACATGCATATTGAGGTGGCTGCTGAAGCGCAACCTGTTCAAATTACATCATCCACATAAGTGCAGCATAACAATCATCGACCTCTATTTCACAATGCATGGTTTCCTCAAAGAAGCTTACACTAAGATCCGAAACTCCAAAAATCTCCAATCGTGGTAGCACAACAGATGCAAATTCCATTTTGTGGGTTTTATTAACAAGGTAATTAACAGAAATGAAATACATGTAGAGCTGTCTAGGAGGAACTGTGGTACGTGTGGCAAACTCATAAGACCATAATTAAGTACATACCTGCAATACACGCTTTGCGAAAGCAGCTGCACGCTTCAAGTTCAGATCATTTTTCATTGCTCTCAGAATAAGTCCGATAAACATTTCTGCCTAAAAAGAAAGTCATATAATGACAGTAAGATATATAATTGAATGAAAGGAGTCAAATTTGTTGCATGCTACCCAGCTCCTGCTGAAGCTAATAGTAAAGTGAAATTATTGATCTAAAAAGAAGCTTCTCAAAGACTGTAAGAAAGTGCGAGAGACGAGTCTTAAGAAAGAGCATAAGCAAAAGTACTAAAAAGAGCGTAAACAAATCCAGCTCCACTTACCTTGGAAGTATTCATGGCAGCTGGAAGTAGTAGTTTTGAGTACAAGGCCCTGTAAAACCTATCACTGACGATTTGATTCTTAGAAGAGATCTTATCGAGAAGCATCAATGCTTGAACTCCTACATTAAAATTCTTAGAATGGACCTGTACAAGTGTCCAGATTAATTTCCATGCACAGAATCAAAGATATAGCTAATCTTCCAAGTAATGACTAGCAAAGCTTTGAGCTTACCAGCTGGAAAAGCATTGGTGTTTGGACCTCAACAATGTCATCAGCCTCATTGCTAGAGACAAAGGGAAATGCTCTATTGACTCCCTGTAAAAGAGACGCAGAAGTAGTTAGTAAGTTCCTTGGACAATGTTTTTCTAATCCCAAATTTATGCCTAGCCTTTTGCTCTCTTTCTTTTATTCTTTTTCTCTATGAGTAACTAAAAGCTTGTAAACACACCAAGATGTTCCTCTGAGATAGTGAGATGACATAGCTACATTGTTATGAAAGCTGAGGATGCATCCTATATATACTGTAGACCCAACAAGTATTTGTACTAACCACCAGTAGAGCTGACAGAAGGCGCGAATCCAATTCAACATGAGAATCCGATGAACTCTTATCCTCATTAGAACTGAGTGGCTTTTTAGACCATGCTTTCCCTTTTTTATCCATCTTTTCACCAGCAGCAGCCTCATTAATAAGTACCTGAAATTTTATTTTGTGACTGTTCATTTTCTATTTCCATAATTTAGGCCTTGTGTACTCCAACAAAAACATCATAATGCAGGGATGTAGAGAATGTGGATTAGGGGGACAGAAATCATAAGTGTTATAGATAATAAACATTCAAAAGATAATGTAGTTCATCATTACCTTGAAAAGTGAAAAATAAACATCAATTAAACGTTTTGCCACCTTTGGTCCATCTCCTTTATGAGTTAGACGCATTTGGCTCAGAAAGTTAACCTGCATATGTAAAATTTTTGTTCAACAAGGTTCGTAAGTTGCACCAATTTAAACCAAATGTAGGTAGTACATTGACTTTGAGTTCAAATCCATGGCTCCTCAAGTACTAAGAATTAAATACAAAAACAAGCAAGATGGGCATGATCAAGAACAAGAAGAAAATTGCTATTTGCTATATGAAAATTCAGACTAATAGGTCCTCAACATGTAAACACGCTTCAGACAGTATGTCAATGAGCAGAATCATTAAATACTGATGCACTTTGGTCATAGCATAGGATCTCCGACAAAGACATGCATGCTCATATGTAATTATGTTAAGAGGAAACATATTAGTGTCTCATGATCTCATCTAGAGATGTTTCTATGCTTCATGATTTTATTGTCAGATGCAGCCTATTCCTCTCACTGTCTGATTACTTTGGTAAGACAGCTTTAGCCCTTGCATATAGTTTAAAGATCCACCATCATAAATACTAAAACTTTAATATTTCAATAACATTTATGGGCAAACAATCAAACAAAATGTTATGTGGAAGCTGAAACAAGTAGTAATGCTACTAGCTTAGTCCAGATTATGGTAGCGATTAAATTAATAGTAGTGTTCATAATGGGACATACTGCATGATATTTTGCTTGTGGAGTCAAACGTGGGCGAAAGAGAAAAGAGTCCACCTCGTCGATCACCACTGCCTGTTCAAAGGAGTTCTTAGTATAAGATGGGATGCAAAGGCACTGGGAGGACTACTCAGATCCACAAATTAGATTTAGTTAAGCTCAATGGATATACCTTCATGTTTGGATGATCGGACAAAAGGTTTGATAAGTGAAAATCAGCATCAGATGCCCCCTTATTTTTAGGATCTCCCAGCTGTAAGCAACCAAAAGGAAGAAAGCAGACAATGAAGCGAGTTGACAATTGTAAGGGGAAAAAATGGTATATGAAGGTAAGTGAGGCAAAAAACCAGGTTAAACTTACTTTGTTAACTAGCGCAGACAGTAATCTACGCTCCTGCTCTGATTTATTCTTTAGCAGCACGTATATAGTCTGGAAGCATTTATTTGGATAGGAGAGTATGGATCAAAATTCTCACATCAGCATATTATAGATGTTACAGACAACTTCACGTGCGTTATAACTAAAAAAATTAAATTTAAAAAAGATATGAGTTACACCTCAGAAAATCATACAAGTTATATCATGCCTTTTTTCAGTTTGTGGTAACTTCAATTTTGTATAATTTTTTCAAATAAAAAAATAAACTTAAAAAAAAGATAGGAAAGTGTGGTTTAGTCTTTTCAGTTTGTGGTCACTTCAATGTTGTTTTAAGCAAAATGTGAAACTTCAGAAAACCACATGAGTTACACCATGCGTTTCCACTGTTGTTTTTATATCAATAACATTGAGCGAACAGAGAACAGAAAATACTAATCTCTTATGTGTATATTCTTACAACAATCAACCTACATACCGGTTGTCACCCAAGCCTTAAACTTTACATACAGCAAATCAATATCTGAAATAGTAACATGCTTACAAATGAAAATCTATGCGAACTTTTAACAAAAATGCTGCTCAAATTCCAATTTGACTGTTGGTTTAAAGAGGAGGCATGAACTTTATTAAAAAAATAAAAAAAAATAAAAAAAAATAAAAAATAAAAAAAAATAAAAAAACCTGTTTCACTGGAGAAAAATGAATATTGGAACTTTGTAGCTTCAGGAACAATCGAAAATTAATAGTCATAAAGGGGGGTTTTAAACAGGCAGCAAATTAACAATAAGAGAAAAATAGAGAGAACCCAACCTTCAATGCCTTGTTTTTAAGTTCAGGTAACATATCTTTTGATGCCTCCTCAAGAGCAAAAACATAGCGTTCATACCTGAGAGAGACATTATATTTAAAATAGATGCACACAATAAGGTTGTGGAGCAAAAGGAACAAAGATTAAAAACAAATACCTTTGTTTCAAGCACTCCTCCCAATACCATAGAAGAAGAAGAGAATAACCATCTTTTGTTTCAGGAACATGATTTAATGGCCGCTGCATGAGGTTCTTAAGCTTGCGATCAGGTAATAAGCTGGCAACAGAGACATATATGCAGATCAGAGCAAAGTAAGGAGCAAAAACTCACAAATATGAAGTCAAAGTTCTAAAACAAACTCAAGTGGACAAACAAATGCCGTTGATCATTATTAATCACAAGGAAAATGGCTTCTTACTAAACCCTACAGGAGCATCAAATTTCTGTAGAAGTGTTAGACCATTCATCATGAAACACGCCAAACTAGAAAACCAACAATTCACTTACTTCATGGAGCAAAGGAGGGCAATAAATTTAGTATACCATAAAACATGATCATTTCTATAATGAGGCATTGGACTATTTTCAATTTTTGCAGCAAGGTCATAGATTGATAGTAGTTTCGAACAGGCTTGTTTAGTATTACAACTGTTCTTTCTGGTTTGGTGAGATTCATGAGCTTTCATGTGTTGTTTGCCAGTGGAGTTCTGTCGTTCTTTTAAAAAAAAGTAGTTCTGTAGCAGACCTCACACCTTTAATCCCCCGTGGCTTGAGTGACCATGGAGGGATCAAAGACTGGTTAGTCATTTCCAAGGTTTCAAGACTAATAATGTGTGCGCACGCACAAGGATTGAGAGAGAGAGAGAGAGAGAGAGAGAGAGAGAGAGAGAGAGAGAGAGAGAGAGAAGAGAGAGATAACCTTGTAAGAAACAATTCTCTCAATGCTTCAAAACCTGCAAATGCATATCGCTTTCCCACTTTGGATGTCACCATTCCTACAACAAATACAAGTCCCAATAAAAGTAAGATTCAACAGAATAAGGCCAATCAAGGTTCAAATAGAAAGATCGAATCCACACCCAGCTTCCAACAGAACCAAAGCTCTTGGTCAGATTGATAAATTGATATGAATACTTTTTTTTAATCCCAAAAATCTATCAAAGTTCATCAAGAACTGTATATACACAGCGACATGAATAAAATTTAGAATTCTATGTTGATTCTAGTACATTAGCCTCGAATCAAATGGAACATAGGTATAGGTAGAAAATAACTTGGAAACATTCATTGAATCATTATTAGCATTTCTTTTCTTGCTAAAACAAACAGTCCCAAAACGAACAATCTAAAATTCTAAGATTCAACAAATATTTTCCGGCATATATCAACAAAAACACAATTCAAGTTGGGAAATGCTTGATTTAAAGCAGTCATTAACTTTCATCTTCTTTTTTTTCAAACACATTCTACTAATTGCAAACTGAAATATTACCTATAAGTGCGTCAAGGGACCTCATGTTGGCAATGGGATTATCCCCAACCAACACCGAAAATGCCGATATCTTATCCGATGCAGTTCCGGACCTCTGTGTGGTAAGCAAAAGCTTAATATCCCCACTCTTCCCTTTCGATGACTCGTAGTCCGCTACGTACTGCGCCATTAACCTCTCTCCAAGCTCTCTCTTCTTTGCCACCACACCCTTCCACTCCTCCGCATTCTTCACCTCCACTTTCTTCCCACCCACAAGCACTTTGCCTTCCAATTCCTCAGCTTCCTCATACCACACCCCCAATTTGTTCGCCGACATCAATGGCAGCTTCGGGAGGTTCTTGAACTTCTCGAAGTTTCTCGCTTTGTCCTTGCTGCTGTTTTCCTCCAGTGAAGAAAGTGTGAGTTTCGGCTTCTGGTTTTCATTGGGTTTGAAATTCGGCTTGTTTGACTTCTGGTTTTTGGTGGGGTTTGGGATTGGAGCTGGTTTGGACTTCCTTTGGGGTTTTTTGGGACCGGGATTGCGAAAATCGACATCGTTGAAGCCGGAGGAAGGGAGAGAGGTTGCGAGACCGAGAGAGGAAGCGAAGGAGGCTACGTCGGACCGGAGGTGCTCTATGTCTTCTGGGTTGCTAGCGGATTTCTTTGATTTAGAATCCGCCATGGCTGGCTGTGGAATGAAGCCTTACCAGAAAAAACAGACGGAAGGGTCGGGGATGGTTGTAGGGTTTAAGAAAATGGGCTTTTGATTTGGATCCGGGTAAATTTAAAAGTGGACAACAATCTGATGGGCTAGGCCATTGTGGGCCTAAGAATATATTTTCTAGCTTAATAGATGCCAGATGCGACTTTTTTAATAAGAAGTACTTATTCAAAATGTTTAAAAATATTAAGATCAATTTAAAATAACATTGAAAAATGAAGGAGTTTTAGATACTTATTATATGTTTTGTGAAATATTGAGGAAGGAAAAGTGAACGATTCTTATTAGAGTGTATAAATGTGATTGTTTTCCGCTTATGATGTAGTCTATTTACAATAATATGTTTTTTTCTTTAAGTATATAGATATTTTTATACTAAAGGAAGGGAGAGTTATCTAAGCTACATAATTGGCAGCCTAATTTGATATCAAATTTGTCATCTATAAGATTCGAACTTAAAACCTTTTATTTACAGGTAGATAAAGAGGAATACCTAGTGATTCGCTAATATGTTTAGAAACATCACCAATTCTTTAAATTTAAAAAAAAAAGGTGAAAAACTCTAGACCGGTAGATCATTGACGTCTACAAATCTAGACGTTGGTGTTATCCAACGGCTGAGATAGTACGGAAGTAGAAATCTTAGTTCTCCTCCTAGGGTTTTTCGCTCGCAGACTCCCGTAGATAAAGCGAGCAAACCCGCAGCCCCCAACTCTCGCGGCCTCGTCTCACTTTCGCATAGAAAACCGGCCGGAGGCTCATCTTCCCCCTCTATCTGTCGAAGTCTCGACGATGGCTACCACCGCCGCAGCACCGCGTCAGCTCTCTCAGAAGGAGGCTGACATTCAGATGATGTTGGCCGCCGAAGTCCATCTGGGCACCAAAAACTGCGACTTTCAGATGGAAAGATACGTCTTCAAGAGACGCAACGATGGTATGCATCATATCTCCTCCTTAATCTCCCTCATATTTACTTATATTTATGCTTATTTTTTGTAATATAATATGAAATTTCAGATTTTTGAATATGTTTTGTTTGTTTTGTGGTGTTCGAAATGGGGGTATTTTCTAATTTATGCTGAATATGTTTTTGCTAGATCTGGTATATTGGTATTATAGCTAGAGTGTCATTTGTTCTTGTTGGTATATTTTGTTGCTCTTCTTTTTCTTTGAATTAGAATTCATTTTTCCCTATTTAAGCAGCTTCATTGTGTTCACTGTAGTAGTTGATTTTAGAAAATGGCTGTGTATGTAATATCGATTCGTTGCTGTAAAGGTTATCTTTTTATATTTTGATTGCACGGGGTTGTTGTCAAGCTGCACGAGCAAGGAACTGTATGATTTGGGTTGTGTGGTCATGATTTAGTTGTGAAGTGCGATGATACGCCGTATGTGTTATTCCCTGTTGTTTTTAAGCGGTTGATTGTATAGGAACTTAGAGTCTCTTATTACTGATTTAGTTCTCAATCACTTATTTGGTCATTTTCAGGAATCTATATCATTAATCTTGGGAAAACATGGGACAAGCTGCAGCTGGCAGCCAGAGTGATTGTTGCAATTGAAAACCCAAAGGATATCATTGTGCAATCCGCAAGGCCATACGGTCAGAGGGCTGTACTGAAATTTGCTCAGCACACTGGTGCCAATGCAATTGCTGGCAGGCACACTCCTGGTACTTTTACCAATCAGCTCCAGACATCGTTCAATGAACCCCGTCTTCTCATTTTGACCGATCCACGAACTGACAGCCAGGTGATGATCTTCTTTCATTTCTCGTGGTTTTGCATGTTTTGTGTATGTTCATTTGTAGACAGTTGCAACCGTCAATTAGTTTGAATTGTAATTTATTTGTGATCATGTATGTGATACTATGTAGTTCTTTTATTCCCCACTTCTGTTCTGCTTTTTTTTTCAATGTGTACTAATATTCTTTATGTATCGGCAGCCTATTAAAGAAGCTGCTCTCGGAAACATTCCCACCATTGCTTTTTGTGACACCGATTCTCCTATGCGTTATGTTGATATTGGCATCCCAGCCAATAACAAGGGCAAGCACAGCATAGGATGTCTTTTCTGGCTCCTAGCAAGGATGGTCTTGCAAATGCGTGGTTCACTCCTTCCTGGACACAAGTGGGATGTTATGGTAAGCACACAATACCACTGCTGAACAATATTTGAGCATTATTTTGTAATTGAGCTTATTTAGAATTGTCTCTAAGCTTCATCTTCGCCCAAACTTCTTTTTGCAGGTTGATCTATTCTTCTATAGAGACCCTGAGGAGGCCAAGGAAAAGGAAGAAGAAACTGCAGCAATCGAGTATGGAAACGATTTCTCTGCACCTGTTGGTGGTGATTGGTCTGCCCAAATATCTGATGCTCAGTGGCCAACAGATGCATCTGCACCCATCCCTGCAGCTCCTGGCTGGACCGTAGAAGCAGGTTTCACTTCTCAAACCTTTTTATTATTAAAAGTTTGTGCTTAAATTGTTGCGCTTGAGTTTGTATTATCTACCCCTGTTTTTGCTGCTTATTTTTTCTAAACTGTTATTGTTTTGCCACGCTCTAAGAAAATTATCAATTTGCTGTGGTTAGTCTCATTTCCCTGCGGACTTTGCTGGATGTTAGAAATATTTATGCTTGCTACCTGGGATTTCCTTGAACTTCTTTGTTCGCCCGTGTACCTATACTGACTTATCCCGTTTATGTTTTGCAGTACCAATAGTAGCAGATGGATGGGATTCGGCTGTTCCACCACCACAGGCTCTGGCTACTGCCCCCATTGTTGAAGGTGGAGTTCCCGCTCCTACCGGCTGGGGGGAATAAGGAAATTTTGGTCACCACAATGTGTTGAATCATTTTGTAATCGGCTAGATTTCTTCTTTTTTGGGTTTAGAAAAGGGATTATGATTCCATTTCTGAAAAATGGATTGGTTTTTAGACTGTTAAGCTGTAGAATTGAGTTTTGTTGGAGATGTTGACATTGTTATCCGTATTAATATATATGCTTTCTTAACCATCTTATATTGTTGCAAATAATAATCAACTGTGCTATCTGCGCCAACCTTGTTTAAGCATTTTATATGTGATTTTTCGACAGTCACTCCCTTGCTATTGCACCACTACTGCACCCGCTACCGTCGCCGTTTGCCTGCGTAAACGTCTCTTTGCATAAGAGTTGGTTTCCCTGCCATGAAAGGACACTCAAAACTGTGGATTGTCTTGCTCAATGTTTTTGTCGAGGGCATGAATGCCACGTCGGAAAAACAAAGGACCTTGCATGCATTTTAAGTGTGGATTGATGTTGAACATCTCTGTATTGCCAATTAATTTTATGATGAAAAACTCTTCATGCGTGTTGTTTGCTTGATACGAGACTTGGGTAATATTTAGCGATGTGTTAGGTTGCAGGACTTTGTGAATTATCCAATTTTTTTCTTACTACAACATGTTTATGAGCAGCAATTTGGGTTAGGTTGCAGGACTCTTTATCTTTTCTTTTTTTTCTTTTTTCGCGTTCCTTTTTTCTCAATTGCAACTCTTCAAGGTAGTTGGTGACTCATCATTTTATAACTTGTTCAGTTTGTTAGGGTTTCTTTAGAAATGCTTTTAAAATTACTGAAATAGTTTTTAAAGAAAATATTTTTGAGTTTCCAAAGCACTTCCAAGTGTTTATCCCAAAACCATTTCATCAAAAACGTTTTTAACTATTTTAATATACTTCCAAACGAGCCCTTAGTTTTGGATGAGCCATCCTTTTTGGAAGGAAGTTAACCCCAATTATCACGATTGTGTTGAATCCATTTATTATCCACCCTGTGATAAAATTGGGCAACCCCAAGTTTAACCCAAGTTCACCCACAGGTTGGGTTGAGTTTAACCCGACCCGTAAATGATGATTAGGATCGGGTTAACCTTGCAACGTGCCCAACCCGTCATGAAACGACCATCCCCTTCTAACAAAAAAAAAAACAATGAAAAGAAAGAAGCACTCTCAAATGTTGCAGACTACTCGGAAATGGGGTTGAACCGGGACACAATCTGCTAGTGTGCCAACTTAGCAAACCAATGCCTTAAACCACACAACTATACCTCCAAAGGTTGTTGGTCGGAATTTGATGCGCGGGAGTAGGTCGACGAAGAGCTATCCAATCCGATCAACGTTTCAGCTTCACTTCGCTTGCTTCGAAACTCTATTTGCTTTTCTTAACATTTCCAACCGATGCCCTGTAACTTTACTTGACATTCGCATACAAGTGTAGATGCAGTCCAATAGCATTTTACTTTTCAAGGATATAAATATTGGAAAATGATTTCAGACATCCATTTCTCCTTCTGCGCACCTTCCTTCTTTTTTCCCTCACCTTTAGAATGAATAAATCGAGCGGAATTAAAGAAAGTGCGTAGGGAGAAAATGGGGTGTGTGAAAATCACTTCCCTGACACTACATGATATGAACATCAGCGCTGATGTGCACAGATGGGTAATACAAAGTTTGCTCGATAAATAAACATGAGAAAGAAAATGAAATGAAACCAAATCTGAACCTGCATATTGAATTGAGAGGAGGAAATCTGTTGCTATCTAATAAAATTCACAAGTATATCATTTTTAGAGATATTAGAACCTACAAGAAGCGGCGGAGTTGAGAACTATACGGGTTGCTTATTGCTACTTCCCCTATCATGACAATGGATCATATGACAAGGTAAACTGTAAAGTCTACCCAAGAATTAGTTTTCACCTTGAAGAATCAATTTCTCAGCAAATCCCAGTACTATGTTCTTTTGGTTGGTGACATTCTTACCATTTATTTTCTGTACAAGAACCCAAATCCTTCGGACGGGTTGAGTTAAAGTTATGAGGCAAAACCTTTTAGTTAGCTTCAAAGAAACAGCAACTCCCCATTAGCTACCCAGTCCATGAAGCTCTCTGAATATGTGGGTGTCACATTATCACGACTGACCTCTGATTCGTATTGCTCTTTTCCCTAATAAATCACGAAAAATAAAAGACGTTAAACAATTTGGTTTACTGCTCTAACATAGGGAGTACAAAGATGACAAGTCTAACAGGATATGGAAGTCTATAAAACATCTTATGAAGGCAACAGTTCTGCAGCGATAGAAACCAATTAACACTAAAATTTGAATAATACGCAACGTCAATGGATAAAGTCCAAGGTCCAACTCTTTTCCTCCAACTTTATTAAGCAAACTAGCCATCGCCACTTGGTCACTACTGAGAAAAAGATGCTACGACAGAGTTCTACTTATGTAAGGGCAGTAGAATGGTATAACCAACTAATCTTCCGTCTTTTCATCAGGAAATCTGTTAATCTTTTTTATATTAAAGCAAATGGTACACTTTTTCACTATTTCAATATTTCGTGCCAATCCCAGCAAGTAGTTTACCTTTCTCGTGGATCCAGATTCACTTGCAGATGTGCTCGTTTCAATCTTTGGTCCATTCACAAGATTCTCCGAGGAAAGGCTGGTCATAGACCTATTGCGAATCAATTGTCAGTTCTCATAACTAGAAAGTTCACATGATATATTGCCAAGTCTAATCTGCATGCATTTTTTAGAGGGTAGGAATAAGTACCTTCCACATTCTTCTTCACAGGAATTTCCTGATGTGGACAACCAATCCACATCCAGAAAATTTGACAAGTTGCAATCATCATCGTGTTCATCATAAATGATATGATCACTCTGGAGACATTCGTCTTCTTGCAACCCACCAAAAAGCTGCTTGCAAGGCATTGAGGGGGTAAACCTACAACAGCGATTATTAGACCGGAAGAAAGGAATTATTGTAGGCCTAAAGATAGAACAACCATCAAATTTATTGGCTTAGAAAAACTAGAATGTTTTTCTTTGGCCATTAGAAACCTGATATTGTTACAACAGCTTTTATTGGTAAACGAGTATATGAATTGCAATGCAAGCATACCTGCAATAGGATATCTCACTTTCGCAAGTTGAGATTGCTGGTGCTGACTCTGAAATTGCTCTGTTACTTCCTTGTGCGATTTCAGACAAAGGTTGATTGTACCCAACATCTGTGCTTGCCATAGGTGAATCACTTTCACCGAGAATATGGCCCTCGGATAGTGACCTTTTGATAAACGACCTAAATACATAGAAAGTCATCTTGAATGTCATATGTAGATCAAGTCAAGTCATAGGCTATTTATTCCTTGTGATAATATCAAACAAACAGAAACCACAATATTGATTTTTTTCTTTTTCTTTTTCTTCTTCTTTTCTGCTAATAAGAAACCATAATATTAATCTACTCATCTTTCTAATAGAGTCATAAGCTGAAAATTATTGTCACCCTAAATATCATCCACCGAGATATCAGATATCTTGAACTTAAAAGTGAAAAACGTTTTAGGCCCATCATAACCCACCACCAAAATACCAGTATTGCCCCAACTAACCTCCTTCTCCCACCCATGTGGAACACTATTCTCCAACAAAAGAAAAACATTGACATATGGATACGTGTGTGTATATTTTCTTTTTACAATGGTGGTCTCCCTATTTCAACTGCAAATAACAAACACATAGCATTGTCATTAGCAAAATTAGGGTCATACCTCCCAACATTGTATTGCTGATCCGAATTCAATTCCCACAGTTGTGGTTTACCCGGTTGTGGTTGAAAGTAACCTAGGAATCTGCAGAATTATACAGTGAAATAGTGCTCCTGTTAGCTTACATTACTCAAATGCAGATGGACCAAGTATAAGAGTGGCATCATTTGACTTACACATTAATAGCATCTTGTTTCACACCATCCACGTAAGCATTACTGTAGAACCGCTGTATAGTTCTAAAGAACTCCTGGGACTGTGTTGCTGCCTTCCACTGGCCTCTAGTCTCAGAGAATATCTGTTTCAGATCAACAAAAAACATAAAAATCAACCAACACAATATGACCATTTATAGGGCCAAGGTATTGGGAAAAGGCATAGCAACCTTAAAACCCTGGAACGTGTAACCAGAATATCACAGGGGAGGATCCACCAATAAACAAATATAAGATACATAAATGATTTCAAGGTAATTTAGTTAAATTTACTACTTCCATCTTCCCAGTTTTAATCCATTACGTTACTTTTATTTACCGGATACCTGCAGTGGAAGTTGAGATCTAGAATCATGTATTTTAAGTTACCTTATTATGTGCTGGAGAACCGCCATATTGTAGTGCAAGTATGTCACCCATTGACTCATAAACTCTCATCAAGTCCTCAGCCAGAGGGTTATCCAGATCAATATCCGGAGATTCTATAAATCCTAAAGCATGCAGCTGATGTCCAAGAGCAACTAGCCCATAAGAATATTGGGCCACATTTGTGCGATCTAAACAGTCTATGCAATTGGTCCTCAGGACTCCTTTCTGAAACATCCTGGTTGTGATATTGCAATTCATGCTTGCATCGTCACCATCACTACCATTGCTAATTTCTGTTTCTCGGCTATCAGCATCCTCATCTTTACTTGAACAGCTATGTGACAAGCAGTCATTGGCATCATCATTTTTCCTGCATCGCATCAAAATTGTCAGCATTGTAAATAGCTTGCAATTGCTTTTGTGCACACAATACTTCAAAATGCCTACTATTGTATATAATGATATATAAAACTGAACAACAAAGCCTATAACAAGGAATACCAAGCTGAAAAAGCAATATCTTGAGTCTTGATAAGAACTTACTCAAAGCCAGGTAATCCCTCAGGCCTTAAATTGGGGTTTACTTGACAATAGAAGATTCTGGTTAATCCCAATGCATACGTAGCAACTTTTCCGAGATGTCCCAATACATTGGTAGCTTTGCTGTAAATGATATAGTTCAATTAATCCCAACCATACTTTTAACTAAAGACGTTCTCTCTACCTATAATAGGAAAAGGGAAAGTCAAGTACCTTCTGGCATGTTTGTGCAGATCCCAATGGAGAAACCTCAGGCGACTCTCTTTTGGTAAACTCCTATTGATAAATCTGAT